CCCCCCATTTTCTTTCTGCTCTTTGTTTTTAATTATCCATTTCCCAGGTCATCACCTACCTTCTACTCCCTCCAGATTGCTTTTAAAAGCTCCTTTTCTTTCCACCTGTGCCTGTCTTCAGTGTTTCTCTTAAGGTGCTCTCTCTGTAGTTTTCTCTCTTGTTTTTGTACTATTTCTAAATGTTTATCTGTTTTCATGGGTTTGGCTACCACATCTAAGTTTATTAATTAATCTCTCATCTTTTGTCCAGTCTCATGTCTCTAACTGCTTTTCTGGCATGACTTCTTGGATATTCAAACATTTCTGACTCTCTTGCTTTTTCTTCTAATCCTCCATTGCTTCCATTCTCCACTGCATTTAGAAACTTAATTTTCCTTCTTATTTCCCAGGCCCATAATCTTTGGTTCTACTCTCTCCCTTTTCCTTTTTCCTTACAGCCAGCCTTTCTCTAGCCTAAGGCATTTCTTCTTCCTGTTTTTTAAAACAAAAGGTGGATTGTTGTCTGTCCTGAAATGGGAACACTACCCTCCAAACAGAACAGAGCCTAGTAATAGGAACAAGAGGTAGAATTCCTGCCAGCTGTCCAGCCAACCAAAGCTGTGAACATGGGGAAAGGCCGGCTTCTCCAGTCTGCACATCTCCTGCCAATGAGGGCTACAGGGACATGCCAGCCTCCATAGGATGCTGTTTTTCTGTGGATGGAGAGAGTCCAGACTTCCAGCTGCTGCTTTGTTTCTTTGCTCTCAGTTCCTCTGGCTGAGTCTCCCTGCTTTCTTACCTTCACCTCTCTTTTTCTTATTTCTGATTTTGGATTTTCTGTTCTGTACCCATTTCCTTTTGCTAGTATGGTAAGCACACTCTTCTTTCAGTTGCTTTCCTTAAACCCAGCTTTGCAAGCAAATCCATCCTTTCTTCTTCCCCAATTTCTGGTTTAACAGGCAGAAATATATTCAGTTTCATGTCAATCGTGGAATACCCCATTTTATTTTCCAGGCCACCTCAAATCTAAACAATTTTAAATAAGTGCAAGATCAGCCAAAGTTAAGTATTGCTTATTGCAGAATATCTTTTTCAGAAGGAATGCAGTTATTTCACAGATGCTGTATAGCTTTCTATTTACAGATAATTGAAAGCGAAAAATCTGCATATGAATAACATATTGCACCATATTCTGTCTCTGATTTGCTCTAGGGTGCCTTGGTCAGTGCAAGTGCAGATGACACACTCCATTTGTGGAACTTAAGACAGAAGCGGCCAGCTATTCTTCATTCTCTGAAATTTAACCGAGAACGGTAAGGGAGCCTGAAAAAACAGAAAGGTGTTTTAAAAGCGTACAAGTTAAATTTGACTGAATTATCTGTGTTATGGTTTTGTTTTGTTTGAGTAATGCAGCTGTCTGTCTTGAAGATTTTTCTTTCATTATGATTCTTAAAATCCAATTTATACAGGGCATGTATCAACTCAGTGTCCAGATTTGGAGTGTAGTAACTCTCAAATCTCAATAGCCCATTTCTGCTTTTCACTAGAAATGTTTGTCCATGGTTTTCTGCTTAAACAAACTGGTGTGATTAGTAGATTTTAAGGCCAGAAAAGAATGCTATATGATAGGCTGTGCCCCGAAACGAGGGGCATGTGTTCACAACACTTTAAAGCAGGTTAAATGCTTTTGCGCTGCTTTAGTGGTGTTCGTGTTTGCATGCGTTGGCAGTGTATTGCGCGTTAATTTCAGGTGCTGTAGCACATTCAGAGGTGTAATATGCCTTAAATGACTTGGTGCGCAGCAAACTCCTCCAAGGAGTTTGTTTGCTGCCATACAGCTGCAGAGCGAAGCACTGGGCTCTGTGTGGCTCAGGAACTGTGCAGGAAGCCCATGCAGGCAGCCTGGCAGCAGCCCAGGAAGGCAGGTTCCACCGAAGAAAAAAAAAAAGCAGCGAGCCTGATCCTTTTTTTTCCCCAGCCCCCTGGAGCCTGCCTGCCTGCCTGAGCTGCATGGGGGCCCGGTGCTTTCCTCCGCAGCTGCAGTGCCCCCCAGGACCACCCGAGCTAGGTGCCTGTGGGCGGGGCCCACCGCTGCCACAGAAGGAAGCACCAGCCCCCCCGCCCCACAGCCCAGGGACTGCTCTGTGCACTTGCAGCTTACCTTCCCCTCCCTGCTGCCGGAGAGGCAGGTAAGTACATGGGTGTATATGACATGGGGGTTTACTTGGCCCTGAATTGAAGTGGTGTTTTTAAAAGCACACCGCTTCAATTTAGGGCCCCTGTTTCATCTACACACACCCATTGTTCTAGTCTGTTCTGCTGTATAACACTGGCCATTGGCACTCTATCTAGTAGCTCTTGCAGGAAGGAAAGTATTTGTTTCCACCCTGTAAGAATGTGGAAACAAGATTTTTTTTTCTTGACCAATTTGGCATGTATTCACCCTGTAAGAATGTGGAAACAAGATTTTTTTTTCTTGACCAATTTGGCATGTATTATAATTTACTGAGAAAACTCAAATGTTACTAGTATGGTGCAGAGTCGAAATTTAAGATACCACACTTTCTTGTATATAGTATATACTCTTGCTCCCCCCATCCCCCAGAATTGGCATGCATGTATTGAGTGGGGTAGAAATCCTCTACTTTGGTTCCTGCTCCATAGTACAGCCGTTGTAACATTACTATTCAGGCAGTTGAGGGAATCAGTTGATTTACTGACCCATTGTTCTTCACTCCGTGGGTGTTAATGATTGTCTTTTTTTTGTAATGGTCTTTGTTTCACTAATCAAACCAAACTTTCTTAGGGCAATTCTGCTGTCTGCTAGCTGCTCCTGGCCTTTCTTCTCATATTTCACAGCCCTGGAAATTCTTCAGCTCTTTTCAGAATCACAGATCTACCCACAGAGACCTGTCCTCAGCAGCAGTTAGGGTTTCAGCTTTAGTTAAGCAGGAAAGGGAGGGTGAGTCAGCTGAATATTAAGTTCTGTCCCTGCTGTATACAGCCATAAGTTTGGAAAAATCTTATTCTCTTTGTTTTACCTTTCAAAACCAGGGTGGGTATTATATTCAGGTATGTTGTATACAAGGAAATATGTAATTATGATGAATAGGTCTCAGATGATTCAGAATTTGGCTTATTTTAGTAATTAGTTTTACTTTCCAGGCATTTAATAGTTTAAATCACTGGTTGGATATGCTTACTTAAGCCCATATTTAAAAACCTAAATTAAGATGGGTATATATTTTGACAGGCTAAGAACTCAGCTCACACTGACATCAGTAAGAGTTGCAGGTAGAAAGAAAGAATGGCCTTTTTAATTAAGGAATAGGTCTGGCACTCAAAAGAACTGGTTTCAGTTCCCAACTCTGCCACAGACTCCCCATGTTATCTTGAACAAGTTGGTTACTTTCTGTGCTTTAGCGTAAAATAGCAGACAGAGGAAGTGTGTTTTATTTCTTAGATCAGGGGTTGGCACCCTATGGTCTACAGGCTGCATCTGGCCCAGGAACATGGGGTTTCGGCAGCATTTGGAAGTACGTGGCTTCATCTGTGGGCACTCTCCCCATGCTGTTGCAGAGACAAGTAGCAGCAACAGCCAAGTGCTGGAATTCACTTGCCCACCTGCCCCTGACCTGGGGTGGGTCATTCCGGCCCACAGCTGGAAAAGGTTTCCTATCCCCATCTTAGACTGTGAGCTCCTTGCTTCAAAAATTGTGTTATAGTATAGTTATAAAATGCCTGTTTTGGTAGAAATTATGTACTCAGTTTCTGAAGTTCAGGTAACTTTTGAATGCCTAAATGTATGGATTTATGTGCATACCTTTGGGCACCCAAGAGAATCTTGTGCAATATTCCTGCATACAATGTATGTCTTTCCTAGTATTATTACATTATGAAGAAGCAAACTGAGATTTCCTAAGACTTTGCTTGGGAATAGTTTTTCATGAGATGTATTATTATTGTTGCTTAATATTTATACTGTGGTTGCATCTAGAGGCCATGTACTTTGGAAGCCCTGTTGTGCTAGGCACTACAAACATAAAAATGTCAGTCCCTGTCCCAAGCCACCTGCAAGCTAAAAGATGAGATGCAAAAAGTGGCTTCTAGATGTGAAAAACAGGGTAGCAAAAAGTATGTGACAATTCTTATCCTGTCACGGACAGTACTTTTTCATCATAATAATACAAATGCTAAATGACAACATACTTCAAAAGTATATATAATTATCCTGATTTTTTAATCATTGGTATTGTTGCAGTACTTCCTTGTCTGTTTTTTGGGGGGGTTTTTAATAGTACTAGGTCAGAACAGTTTCTGGTATTTCTGGCTGTGGATTAATTGAAATGGACCTGCTAGTCAGAAATTTTAATACAATTTCAGGACCTTAGATGTTCAGTTATAGAAAATGGTTGATGTTTGTTCATTTATTTATTTGTTAATCCAAATCAGCTCACTCATCTTGCCATTAAGTATTTACACAGTATGAGTTCTAAAATGCTTAGTCATGTGAAAGAGCCCTTCCTCATGAAAACTGTTCCATGATAGACAAAGGAAATACTTGCATAACTAATTACTAATCCACAGTAATAAGATTTGCAGAGTTAGTCTCATAAGTTATTCATGCTGAAAAATGTACTGTACTCATTGGTGCTATAGTTTGCAGTAACTAAAAAGTATTATCATAAACACCCTGGGCCATATCTGAAGAAACCCAGTACCTAATTTTTAGATTCCTGCCCCTTGTAGTAGAATCTAAAGCTCTACACTCCCTATACTGTGTATGCGGAAAGCTAGGTGCATGAGCAGGACAGATTTAAGATTCTCATGTCAGTCTGGGTGGGGAGGTGCCTCAAGTTAATCAATGGGAAATGCTAAGGCTATGGGTGTTTTGAGATTCATTGAGCGTGTCTACCTGAGAGGCTACATCGCTGAAGAGGCAAGGTACAGTGACATAACATGAGCAGGCACTAACCATGATGACGCTGCTACTGTGCAGTAGATTTAGTAATGACCTGCGCGCTGCCAGGACTGCGCAGTACCAGTGGGTACCGTCCAGTCATTTAGTACTTGCTAAAGTACTAGACTGGGGTCCTGGGTTCCAGGTCCTGCTCTAAGCATTTTTTATTTTTTATCCACTGACTGACTAATGTGAAATCCTGGAACCAGTGCCTGGAGCTACCACTGCTGCTGCTATTGTCCTTCTTGCGTGCCAAGTGGCTGTAGCTACTACTATGCTTTTTGCTGAACTCAGTGCTATGGGTGTGCTGTAGATGTGCAGCAGGAGGACTGGACCCTCCAGGGAACTGAAGCAGTACTTTGCCTAGTTTCTGAATCCCAGTGGGGTTTAAGCTGGACATACACACCAGCTGCTCAGGCTGGGTGGTTCTACACATAGGAAAAAGCAGGAATGTAGGCACCTAGGGACATCTAGCAATTGGGATGGATGCTGTATAGGATTTTTCAGACCAGTTTTGAACTTGGGTAGCTAATCTCCTATTTCTAGCACCTAAACCCTTCTGTGCATCTCACCCTTGTGATTTTGACATAGCTGTGAATTCATTACAGCATATAGTAGCAGCAAATAATGATCCAAATTGAGAAGTTAGTACAATTTTAAAGTGTAGCAGTTGTCTGAAAAGCAGTTCTTTCAAATGGCAGTGTGGGCTTTATATTTATTACTGTCTCTAAGGGGTGCAGAATTAAATTGGCTCAATATACAAGTAGAGAGAGGTTTCTAACAGCCAGCATCTCAAACATAGCCTGGGTTCTGAGAGTCCAATCAGTTCCTTTCTTCTGCATAAATTGGCATTAGTAATGGTGGAGTACCTCCAACTGAATTACACTTTCAGTTTCATTTTTGCAACACACATTTTCTGTCAGTTCTGTGTCACTGTACTGAAAGTTTAGGGGACTGCATTGTGTGGGCCCCCATTGGGCAGTGCGGTCCCTAACCACCACGTCGCACTTCATGGGCCCCCAGGGGTTGGGGCAGGCAGTGGAAGCGGGAGGAGGGAGGGGAGCCTAGGTATTGCAGGGGCAGCAGAAAGAGCAAAACGGGGAGCAGGGTCCAGACCAGGAGCCCAGGGGCTGTAGTTCAATCTCTTGGGAGCCATACAAAGCCAGCAGGCCACCAGTTGGATAGGCATGTTCCAAATTGTTCCTTGTTATCCTCATATAAGACAAACAGGGATTAACCTGTTATCCATTTCAGTATAATGTGATCCAGTGTATATGAGCTTGGACAAGAACATAATAGCTGCCATAATGTTCTGTAACCTTCTTTCCCTAATAATAATTAGCTAAATGCTTT